ATCCCTGGAACCCCCGTCCCCTGGGACCCACGTTCCCCCACAACTCCCATTCCCCTTGGACCCGTATCCCCCTGCACCCACACCACCTCCATCTGCAGAGCCCACATCCCGCAGGGATCTGCACCCCCGCACCCTGCATCCCCCTGGGACCTGCATCCCTTAGGAACCCCCGTCGCCTGCACCCTGGCACCCCCCACCGCCTGAGCCCCGAAGCCTCGGGACCCGCATCCATCCCCCCACCCTCAGCACATCCCAGGGAGGGCAGGGTGGGGATGGATGTCGCCTAGGCTGTCCCTTGCAGGGAGCGGGATTGCCCCAAATCAGACCAGCTGATAGCAGTGGGAAAAAGCAGACGCACTGTGGGACACACAAGACTTTTATTTTCGCACGCTTGCTGAATTGAATCTAGTTTTCCAGGTGTACTCGTCTGCTTAATAAATAATAAACCCTCCATCTACAACCTGTACCTTGCCTGCGTTCATGTACCATCCTGTCAAAATACTGTGCCTGGCAGGGAGGTTTGGGTGGGCTTTGCTGTATTATGTGGTGAGAGGGAGGAGCAGAAAGGCTGAGGAGACAGGATTTCCCTAGGTTTTCCTTGCCTCATCAAGATTTGGCTTGCAGATGCCAACTGAGATTTTGGACCATAAGTCATTTTTCTGAAAAATCAACTTCTTGCTATCATTTCCTGGAGCCTTCTGGGAATCCTGAAGTCATATTATTTAACAAATGCTTTGAAGCTTCTGCTTAGCCTTTTAAAAAAGAGGCTGTATTCCCTAGCATCTCCTTTCTACTAATTAAGCTACTGCTTGGAGCGTTTTGAAGTGTTTTGCCAATCTTGCCCAAATTTGATAGGGCAGGAGTGGCACCATCTTCCAAATCAAACTCACATCCACATCACGCTGGCTTGAGATATAGCCAAGGGGTCTGTGGTTTCCTCTCTGCTCCCTCAAGCAGCAGCACTGGAGCAACACTTCCAAGAGAGCTCTGAAAAGAGATCTAGAAAATACTTCCAGAAATGATGTCTCTGAATTTTTGCATTGGCGTCCAATAGGCACACTCTGTGTGCATTTCCAGACTCTGTGCCCTCAAAATCCCCCCTTATCTGTATGCACAAGGGCAATAATAATCTGATTTTAGTATTTTTTTGCATTTTACGATGAATAATTTTCAAAAGCAGAGCTTCATTGCTGCCCAGAAATGCATACATAAACCTTAATTTCTACTTTCCAGCTTTTAAAACTTCACTTTGAGTGAGTTCTGCACAAATACGTGAAAATATACATCTGATTTGAAGTTGTGGACTTTTGTGCCTAACCATTTTTTAGGTTTGAGATGTTAACTGGCCCTGCACCAGTCCAGCTGCTAATCATGTTAGTAAAGTGCTGGGTTTCCTATGACTTACTTTCTTTCTCTTCCTTTTTCCTTTTCAGTTCTATGTTTCCCCTAAGTATAAGTTGTCCTACATACAATTTGGAGCTAGATGGGGAAACAGCATGTTTGTGGCTCCATTTGTTCCTTGCAGGCACTCTTTTTGAGGAAACATTTCATAAGGATTCTGGTCAAGGGAACTTCTCGTTGCAAAATAATCATCTTAATTCAGGATAATATTTTACCTTGTCCATGGCTATCATGCAATAATTATGTTCCCTCTCTAAAACTGCTTCTCATCTGCTCCCTCTCTGTGTCTGCCCTGATGAGGAAATGGGCAAACAAGAAAGGAAAAGTGCTTTTGTGTCAATGAATGATGTGAATGTTGTGTGCCACATTAACTAAATGTTTTCTGAGCACATGAGCTGTCCTGTCTTAGGAATGAGGCTTCACCGCTGCTAGCAAAACTCTCTGGCTGTTTGCTGCGGTGCCTGCTATTAAATATACAAAGTGAAAGTAAAATTTCATTCCTGAGAAGAAACCTACGGAAAACAAGGATTACTCATCTTCTCCCCCTCCTTTCCTGCCTCTAGCTGGAGCTGAAACCCATTTCCCTTTCCCTAGGCGCTTGATTCGGTTTACTTCACCGGCTTTGCAGAGACCAACAAGACCTTTGTGATTGCTCGTCTTGCCAAACGTCCTAATGGGATCTGTGAGATGTGGCTCTTCCTGAGGGTGGATGGAATAGGAGAGTTTGAAGTAAGTGGTGGATGTGGGGTGACACTCAAAAGCAATGCTTAACTCCTGTCTTGAACCTGTGTTAGGACCCCAAGCAAAAATTAATGTTTTCTGCATCTTCACTACATTAATATCCTAACAGTAAGACATTGGTGCTGTGACTAAAGACAGTGGTAGAACTGGCCAGTTTACTGGTTATGTCTAATTTTTTGAGTAGGTATCTGACACTCATTCCCTTTTTCTCATGATGTGCATAAAACAGTGTTTTTTCTAAAAAATGTCTTGTAAGTCTCCCAGGAAGAATTTGAGCATTCAGTCTTTCTGATAATGTGCAGCATGTGGTTAATAAATTAATGTTGCATGGTTAAGGTTGGTTTTTTCCCTCTTTTTTAATGAGCGAATGCTATAAAAAACGTTGTGGAAATGTCTCTTTTCAAAGAGACAGGAAAGCTTTTAGCGAGTTACATGTACATCTGTTTCATTCTTGCTAAAAGGAAGACAGTATTAGGGGCCGTGTAGGGGGGCTGGGGGGGATATAGGGAGGATATAGGGGGTGTTGGGGGGTCATAGGGTCAGTATAGGGGGTCTGGGGGGTCTGGGGTGGCTCTATATAGTCATATATTTTGCCTGTGGTTTTTCTTTTTTGTTAATAGCTGACTATGTAGTAAAGAAGGAGGGACAATCTGACATAAATCCCTTTGCACTCAACTATCTTTACGTTCACAAATTTGTTTTGCTAAGTAGTCGTGACCAGAAAAAGTAGGAGATGTCCTATTTGCAGAAAACCAAACCAGAGAAGATTGATGTGCATTATTTGGTTTTCTAGAAATATTTAGTATATCAATATCAATATTTAGTATAACAATACTACTTTGTATTTGTATGTGGCTTTGTCATTTCGAACTGCCAGACAAGTTCAGGACCTTCTTGGATCCTTCCCTACAGCAACAGGCATAAGCTCTCTTTCAGAAAGGTGGCAGCTTTAGGAAACAAGACATATTTTTCAAAGGGCAGCTGAAGAGTTTTCGGAGCTTGCATGCACTAGAAATTTAAATCATTTTAGAGGTTGATCAAATTCAGTCTAAAAATAAATTTACCCCCAAAGCCCGGCATCAGCTTGGCCTTAAACTTGACAGAGTCACTAGGTTAAGGAGCTAAGCCCTTGCAGTCACCTCCCTTCACAAGTAATTCAGTTGTATTATCTGAAACAATGATGTATTCTCTTACAACTCGGGTGTTTTAGATGCAATTTTCCTTCTCTGATAATCTGATTACCAGAAGCAGGTAGAACTGAAAAGTTAATTCAACCCAATGTTCCTCCCGCAGAGGACCATCAGAGCAGGAATTCACCTATGTTGCATCCCCATAATTGAATTAAGGAAATGTTTTCCTTAAATGTCTTTTTAGCACCCACAACATCCAAACATGATGGTGAGTGATGAATCTGAAGAGATTTGGAGTGGAGGAGGACTCACTATTGAATATGTAGAGCCCCAAAGACGCTGGAAAATAAGTTTCAATGGATTACTCAGGTATTGCAGCAGTCTATAGTTTCATTTATCTACACTTAAGACCAAGGCTTTTTGAACACTATCTGGAAATACATTTAACTGACTTGAACCGAAAGCTATTTGGTAGCAGTAGCACACATTGATTTTTATGGAATGAAAATACAGCTAGTAGTATCTGTGTCCAGTGTGGAGTTGTAATAGCATTACTGTTCTACTTTAGCACACAGTAGCGTCATTATTCTGCAGTGTCTCCTACTGCATCCACTTCCAAACATGTAAGAAACATTTTGCTCTTTGTTGAGGAGTGGTACAAAATTGTAGTGCTTTACCTTACAGAAAAGGACCCTACCGACAGCAGTGGAGTGAAGAGGAAGGCGAACTTGTAGCAGTTAAATTCTCTTTCCAGTAAGAGCCTTTCACTTTTGCTTTGGGATGTGTAGTGAGTTCATGGTTACAGATTTGGTTACTGTTTTCAAAGGGTCATGTGCACAAAGTGACGCCTGAAGCCCTTGCCTCTGCATTCTGTTTATGGACTCGATTTGTCTGATAAAAAATGATTTGCTGTCAAAGTAGCACAGCATTTCTGGAGTAATGCTGCATTTGAACCTCTGAACAGGCTACATGAGAGAAAGCAGCACGGCTTTGCGTGCTCTGCCCTGGCAGCTTCCCTTCCTAGGAAATCTGTTGACTCTTGCAGGCCGTTGCTGCTCTTCCCAGTTTCCTTTTGTTTGCTTCCGTGAAAAGTAGCAACATATTTAAAATGACGAAAAATGAGAATTTTCCAATGACAAAAACCAAAGATTGCCATTGTCAGAATAGCAAGTACGCAGCTTGGCCTAGTATGACCTGAAAGCTATAATGTCTTTTATTTTTTTCCCCTCTTTTCCTAGTTGGGAGAACTTCACAGAAGTCTTTAACTTTAGTGTCGACAGTCACCCCAGCACATTTGCACGTGCTTTTGCCCAGGAGCCATGGACCATCGAGTTCTTCCAGAGGGTCAAAAAGTGAGAGGCAAGATTAATTTCTTCTGGGGTTAATAGTAATTTTTCTACAGATCTCTTCAGGGTCTGTCGTGTGTTGTTTTAGGTGGTTTTAGAAGGCGGGTTCAATTTGACATGAGCTAATAAAGGGCATGGCTCCTGTCAGGTGTCTCCTGGTTTCATTACTACATCAGACCTGGCAACCTCTAAGGAGGATCCTGCACACACATGGGGTCTTCCTGATATGTGGGTGGAGGGACCTGCCCACAGTTTTGGTCTGTAAAACCTTGAGCATTAGGAATATTTCTTACTCTGTCTTTTTTCATTGCTAATAACCTGATTTAGGCCTCTTCCAAAACCAGTGGTGCAGTTATATCTAAGCAAAGGATTGAATATAATCGTGTGAAAGGAGGTCTAAAGTGGGCATTTCAATTACTACACAAGCTTCAGAGAGCTGAAAATACACAAACAAAATATGAGTCTCAATAGTGTATTGTTTAGTACAAGCGGAAAATATGTATATCAATAGTGGTTTGTCTTTGGTGATACCTGCTGACTTGTAAGCAGCAACTGTTTGGTAGTACAGCATTTTTTTTCAAACAAAGGGCATTTTTGTAGTCTGTCAGGGTGGGAATTTGCTGCTGTTTCATTCTCAGGTGTCTCATAGACATTATATAGAAATAACTGGGAAATGTAAAAGTGGTTGCTAATGTGTAGAATCTGGCATAGCCATGATCCAGATGCTCTGAAATCTCTCCTTCATTTTGGGATATACGTCTGTCGGATTGGCATTGAGGCTGCCTTGATTTTGCCTTGTAGATTTTGTTTGTGTCGATTCACCCTTTTCTTTCTCCCAGACAAAGGGAACAACATTTCCGACATGAGCAGTGGGGCCAGTCTGTTGGAGAAATTGAAATAGAAAATCATGAGAAAACTGAACTTTCCCTCAAAGGCGTTCGGAGCCACTCTTACGGTAACAGCACCAGAAACAGTTCGCTCACTCTGCTGCCTTCACTATAGATGGTACTGGCAGGACAGTGGGACTAAAGATTATCTTTAAAAATAACCAATTTTGTGACTGGGCATGAAGTTAAGACATTTCAGAGGAAATACCATTCTTATGACTGAACTCCACATGTTGTAACGCTCTGAATTGAGACCTTGCAACTACAGTTTCTAAATGAAGAAGATACATGACAGCTTGTTCCTAAGACACCCCCAGTCCTGGGATCACTCCCTCTTGCTCTTACAGCCCCGAAAACTGAGCGACTGTGGCATAGGGGCTGAGGACCAAACAATTTGCCTTTCCAAGTGCTGAGAGCCTATCTGAGCAAAGAGCTCATTTTATCCTTGTTATCCACCAAAGGGTAGATACCAGGGTACCTAGACCCAAGTAGGCAGGAAGTCTCCCTGAACCACAAATCTCACCTTCCTCTCTCCACCTCATTAAAGGTTGATGCTCCTCAAGGCAGCAATATTCCTGTACAGGGGCAGATGGGATATAAGCTCACAGCTGGGCCAGATGAGTGCAGAGATTCATGATCGAGAGAATTTGGTCCATTCATGTCTGGTGAGCTGCTGCAAAGGCAATGACACATTCAGAGCTGTTAAAATGTTTTGTGATATTTTCCTGGATTTGGCCAGTACGTAGACCTGTTGTCAGTCTGACTTGACGTATTACTCTGCTTCCCTTTCCATTAGGCCTTGAACTAATGGAAAAAGAGGAACAATTCCATAATTGGTTTGGAGACATGCTTTGCCTGTTGTCAGTTACTGGAGAATTTCTTTACTCAAAGTTAATGTCAAGTCAGGTACCATTATTTCACGTTTTCCAGCAATGGTTAATTTTAGGTTGGGTGATTTTGTTCTTTTTTGCAGGTATCAGGAACTGGTCTGAGATTTACCGGTATGTCATGATTTTGGCACGCTTTGAGGTAGGTGTTAACATGCCAGTATGCTACTTAACCACGAAAATGGAGGTGTTCTGAACACCTCATATTTAAATATCCAGAAGTAAGGCATTGGGATCATCCACGGTGTGCAATCAGCAGTGCTAACTGGTGCCATCATTAGCACATATCAATGTTGGAAGCAGCTCTCAAAAGCAGAGCCGTGTGTGTAAAAACTGAGATTTTGCTGCACTGGTTGAACCAAAAGTTGTTTTGGTAACTTGAAACTGTTTGTTTTGGCTTTTTTTAACAAAAAAGTAGATAGGCAGCGTTACAGAACAGATTTCTCGGCTGCAGCAGATACCCAGTGCTCCATGGAGTTGATGCAGTGCTGATTCACACTAATTGAGAGCCTGATGTGTTTGGAGGCATCCTAAGCCTTCATGACAGCAGTCAGCAAGTATTTCTGCCTGTGCTCAGCTCTAATCTCTTCTTTGCCCTTGTGGCTCTGCGGGAGTGTCTGCACTGTGGCTGCTGGGAGCACACAGCCTGGGGAGGTGCTGAATGCTGGCATTACGAGCTGGCATGCAACCCGAACAGATGCTCCTGAAAAGGCATTTCCTTTGCCAACACAGGCATAAAGAAATCTAAACTCTGTGTTACAGGCAGCATTACAGGAGTTAAGACTGAATTCAGAACAAAAGTTCTTTTCCCAGATATATGTTGGCCAGCACAAAAAAACACCTTGGAAAATCCCACATGTGTGCAGATCCAGTAGCTGCTGTGATTTAACATATGCCTGTGTTGTTTTTTTTTTTTTTATAAGACTCTGCTTTTGCACTGTAATCTGTATAGTCAGGTAGTAACCTCTCCCTTTTCTTCATAGTTATTCAGGACTCAAAATAACTGTGTCTCTTCCTCTCCTAATTAAAAGCCACCTGACTGTTTGTTAAGAAGGAATTAAAGTTTACCACTGATCGAAATTTGGAGTCCTCATACCCTGAGTGTCTGTACATATATAACATGACAGCGTAGGCTTATATTTGCCTCAGAGCAGCCCAAGTGGAGCTTGAAGGGTTTCAGACTCAAGGATGGAAGAGAAATGAATAATACATGAGATTTCAGTTCCTTCTTATTTAACATTTTTCCCATATGCTGCTCTCAGGCATAAAATAATATAGGTTAGAAGAGATGTCTGGTCAAAGCAGGGCCAACTTTGATAGGTTGCCCATGAGTTTTGAACATGGCTAGCTGACATCTCTGTATGTATTGTTTCCCTCCTCCTCTTATGTCTGCTTGCTGTGGACTTTCTGTTGACCTTATGTCCTTAATTTGTCCTTAATGTGTCTGGTTTATATTCTTGGACTCTCATTTGCAGCCAGATTTTCATGGAAGAGATGTATTGAGAAGATTTAAAAGTATAAAGTGATAGCACACTGCATAACCTGAGTTATATCCAGTGTTTTCTTGGTCAAGTCAGCATACGATCCACACAAATGAACCCGCACAAATTAGACTGCTTTTTCTTTATTGCTGTCTTACAGGATGGGACTGCGGCACATTTAACAGTAATTAATATGCCAGCTACCACAACTAAGTAAGTAACCAAGGAAGGTTATGCTGCTAAAAACATACGTCTTAAAGTTGGCAGAAGTTGCTCTGCGGGATGCCTATATGCACATTCTTGCTTTGAACTTGTGTAGCCCAATTTCCATCCACACCCTCTTGCTCTCTACTCCCTCCACCCAATTTTCCATTTGCAGTTAGTCACAAGGACAGCTTTTACCTTCAATTACTTCCTTCCCATTCAATTACTGTTTGGCTGATGCAGCTGCCTGTCTTGCTGTCTAGATGATTTAGAGGTACAAACTGCGCACTTCCAGCTATTTAAGAAGGTGTGTCTGTCTGTAATGGAGCACTACACAGGGAGCCCCGCTTTGTTGACTGGCGCTGTCTGCATCCAGAAGTTTAAAGACCACTGTTCATGGCCCTGTGACCAAGTGGGACCAAGTGACCTGCCTGTCCCACCTGCCCACCGCAATCCATCCTGCAAGCCTCATCGCCTTTCCTGGATACATGGCTTCCCCGCTCAGCATTTGCAATATCCCACAATATAACCTTTTTTATTTATTTCTGCTGTGTGCCAGGGATGAAGGCCATGCTCAACGTTGAGCTCCCCTGGAAAGCCAATGTGCTGGTCCATTTGAGCTTTCGTTGAACTTGAATTCTGCTCCATTTCTTTCCCCTTCAGCCTCACTGTAGGTTATGTCTTTTTCCCCGATGGGAGGAAGGCTGGCATTGAGTGGTCCAATGCCTCGCTGACTGAGATGGCTGATGATGGTGTTATCAAGGATGAATATGGAGTCAGTTTTACTGCCGGTAAGCTAAATGTAGCCCACCTATATCTGCCTTCAGCTTTTTGGCATGCAGTTAATTTAGTGGAGGAAAGACTGTTCAGTGAAATTCCATGTGATCCTTGGAACAATTTTGAAAGCTAAATGCATCATCTTACACCCTGAAAATATAAAATTTACTTCTGTGCTTAAGTGATATGTGTGGGGTGTCATCAGTGAAATGGTGCGTGTGTCCACTGCAGGATCAGGGCCACAGGCAGCTGTATCAGAGGGACAGTTACAGCTTCTATTTGTCGTGACTGGTGCTTATGCTAATCCAGATAAATGATGTGATTTTCACTTTTTGGGTGTCGCAACGTATGTCATGAGGTGGATTCAGCTGCTTTGAAAATATGGCTTGATCAAAGATTTTACTTAATTTATGAAGCAGACAGGAAAACTATTGCTCTTCAGAAAAGCATAAGAAGAAACCATAAGCAAAAATAATAGATCTTGGGATTTTTTGAGATAAAATACTACTGAAGGTTGGAGACATTCTTCCCTTTTTACTCTTATCAAAGGTGGCAAGTGCTTTGATGTTTCTGCAACACTGGATAAGCAGGCGTGCCCCGTGGTGTATAACGGCCTGACTGGAAGCGGTGTTTTCCACGAGTGCATTGCAGATTTCCGACTGAACGGGTTAACACAAGGCTGGGGCTTGGTTGAATTTTATTACAGGTAAAATAATGACAGGCAAGAAGAGGTAAAGAATTCCCATCCTCCTATATTAACCTATGTGGCTACAGCTCCATAGGTATTTTGAAGCATAAATGCACAGATTTTTTATCTGATGTAAAGAAATGTTGTTCATTTAATGCTTAATGTGTTTATTAAATTGACAAACAAGATATATGTTATTTGAAAAAGAATGATTGTGCAAGCACTTCATACATGCAGACAAACCATGGGCACTTGTTCAGTTGTTTATTACATAGGTTTAGTAGGATCTTATATAGATCTCCATATAGGTTTATGAGTTGGTGGATGGTCCATTCTGGAAACTGTCTTATTTAGGCAATCTGTCACATTATAAAAATAATGAGTCCTCTACCCCAAACAGCAGGCTAACCGTTTACAGAGTGAAATTTGCTCACACAAGTATTTATCAGACTAGAGCACAGAAGAGATAAATGTTCAGAAAATCGATACAGGAATGCTTCTTCTAGGGGAAAGGATTATATTAACAAAATATGTGCTTCTTAGTGAAGTGCTGTTTCTCCTGCCACATGATTGTCACAGGCTTTTACTGGAGCCTTTTCCCTATTGAGTCTTTTCTCTCATGAAAAAAAAGGCAAGTTTGATTGTTTGCATTTAGTTTGCTTTTTAAAATAAACACTAATTCTTGGCTGTCAGAGGAAATGCCATAGATGACTTTCAGAAGACTGAGAGCTCAGCTTCTTCTGAAAACCAGATGTATTTAAAGCACATAAAATAGTCCACTAAACCCCCAAACACCCACTGGTTGAACCTGAAAACCTTGGCCTGTAGCTGCTGCCAGGTACCTGCTCCACTACCTTCACTGGCTGCCGAAACCTTCATGGTGGAGGAAATGACCCAGCACAGAAAGTCTGCGCTAAAACCCAGACAAGGCACCCTCTGCAAGTCTGGACAATCCTGGACATTTCTAGATCCGCCCCAGGAACGCTTAATTTGGCAACGCTGACAAAATTCGCGTAGGCTCCCATCTCATACCTGCTTCCAAATCAAAACCGCGTAAGAAATTAAAGGGTGGGTGTCTGGTTGGTCCCCCTCGCCGCAGAACGCCAACTCAGCATCACTGCTCTTCTTGCAGGGACGAAGCCTCCCAGCCGGTTCCAGATTTGCAGCTTGGTTCAAAAACCGAAGGACCGGACCTGTCCTCCTGGTGCCCTGCAACCAATGGCTCTCCCCCATGAGCGTTTGCAAGCTTGTCCCAGCGACGTTAACAAGCAGCAGCTTTCAAAAAAAATGTTATTCCCCGCAAAATGCAGAGTCTTGAGCGTGGAACTCATTGTCACAGGATGCTGTGGAGGTCGAGGGTATAAAAGGATTTGGAGAGAAAGGAGATACATTTTAGTTGTGCAGCTCTTAGTGGTTGTTAATCATGGTGGTCTGGAGGCAATTTAAAGGAAACCTGAACAGCTGATTGCAGGAAAAGTGCACTAGGTGGGATCGCTCTACGCTCTGTCTTTTGGTATTTTTACTAAACTGCCAGCTGCTCCCCACCACGAAGACCAGGACTCTGGGCTATGTGGATCTCTGACCCAATTTAGCAGTTCCTGTGTTCTTTCAGATTTGGTTTTGAAATAAAAGCTCTATCTTTCTGAACCCTCTGGTTGTTATAGTCGTTAAAACATGGGAAAAAGCTGTTACAGGAAATGGCACTGATTTGATAGTCTTGCCTATAACTGTGTGAGAGCTGAACTGGAAGAAGTAGGAGAAAGCACATCTAAATGAGGTGTCCTCTAGGAATAGCATTAAAGGCCAATGAAATAAGTGATAGAAACACATTTTTCACTTGTCTGAAGGAAAGCCAGGGTCTGGTAGTCTGATATAAAAGACATTCTGAATTTCTCATCATTCTCTTGAACTTAGATGCCATATTAATCACAACATCCATGGTAGTCACTGATAGCTGCTGGCCCAAGGTAACCTACAGTGTATTTCCTACCTAGATGCATCTTGCTGTTAAGTACTGAAAATTAAACATAGTTAAGATATGTCAAGAAAAAATAGTTATGGAGAAGCTCTGGACAGAAGGAATTAAGGAAAGATGCCTTATTCTTTACACCAGGCAGCCATACTATGCAACTGCTGGGAGCATCATAAGGGTATGTTATCATCGTAATGTATAATCGTACCTTCACCCCCGTTTAAGATTACAGTAGTGAAATATATTTATAATTTCTCCTTAGGTTGACACTGGAGGGGACTAACAGACTTTAAAGATGACTTTCTCCTTTCTGAAATAGTTCTTACACTTACTAATATAACTTATATGCAGAATAGGTGCATGAAGGTAAAATTATTCAGCCTACATATACCACGGCAGTGATTGCATGTTCAAATTTGGGATGCATTACTGAACAAGCCTGGGATGATGCAAGCAACAGCCTGATATGATATAACAGGCTGATTTTATCAGCAGTCTCTTCCGCAGCAGTGCAGTAGGGTAGAGAGATTCCCACTCCCTAATTTATAACATTGTCCCTGGTCTGCATTTGTGCCTGTGATCTGTACCCCACCCAACGCACAGATTTGTAGTGCAAGTGCCGTGCCCCTCCTTGCACCCCAAACCATCAGCTCTATGTGCGAAGCAGACATCTGATTGCATTTCTTTGGGGATAGTCGTTGATTCAGAGCTTTGGGGTTTAGCTGGACTTCTCCTATAAATACTTCTCTAGTTACAGTGGTATTAAGAAATGCATTCTTGTGAGTCTTGCACAAATTTAAAGATGTCTTAAATCTGTCTGTGTGCTGGAAGTCTCAATGCACCGAAACAGGGAGCTTCTAAATCACTCGAGACAATGGTACTTTGACAGAAGGGAAGGCCTTATGCCTCTTTTTACACATAAGAAATCAGTCAAATAGGTAATTTTAGAAAGGTTAGAAAAATAGCTATATTATACGTCACAGTTTATTCCTACTAAGTATGTGGCTTGCTTTGCTATGATCTCCGGAACATCTGTTCCTTTTCTGTGGAGGTTTTTTGTCATCTCTTTCCTTTTTTTTTTTTTTTTTTTTCCTTGAAGACTAAAACATTAACATTTAGAAGAAGGAATACAGGCGCATAATCAAGCAAGGTCTTTGGGTCTTTGGAGGTGTCGGAGAATGTAGATAATGAAAAAAATGTTAATTATTACTCTGGAATGGTAGAGAAATTCCTGTAAAAAGTCCAGGTCAAAAATTAAAAATCCATCCCATCAAGGAAGGCATTGGTCTGGCTGGTTTTGACTTGCAGAAACTGAGCTACAACTAGGGTTGCAAATGGCAAGTGTCTCCCCTGACTTGCAGTCTCTTAAGTTCATGTTCCCGCAGTGGAGGAGGCAGAGGAGGATGACGTAGCCTTCATCTCTCTCCTTTTGTCCTCTTTACTTGTTTCTTTTGGTACCAGTGGATGGAGAATTAGAGCACTCAGGAGCTCAGTTTGGAAAAGTTCAAGCAGGGTACAGAAAATGATTAATAAAGTTTTGAGCTGGCAGGTTTATTTGCCAGGTGATGAACTACTGGTACGGTATTTCATCTTGAAGGACTGAAAAATTGACTGTCGGGGGTTTTCTCCCTGGATTTCAAATTAGTTTATAGTGAGCTTGTGTCCAGGACACATGGAATAACTTATTTAATTTAAAATAAATCTACCAAGCCCCACGCTTTGACCATATGAAGTGGTCCTTCTCTTGCGGCTCCTTTCTCAGTGGAAAAATCCATCTTGGGAAATGCTTCTGCAGCCCAAAAGCATTAATTTTGAGCAAAAAAGCAGTAAATGGAGGTAAGTCCTGGCCAGAAGTGAAATGTAGCATGTGATCTGCTCTCGTCCGGCATGAAGGGAGGCAGCTGGAGCCTCATCGGGATGAGCTGCTTTCCAGCATCTGCGTTTTGCACGTCTGGGAGGAACTGAACACCTGTAATTCCTGCTGCTGTCAATGGGCCAGCGCCTGACACGGCAAAATACTTGCATAAAATACTTGCACGTCCCACTGGAGCTCACATGCATGTTGAATTTCAACATTCAGGCACTTGTAAAGAGGTCATTTAAAGGCTGTCAGCCCCAAACTAAGCATTTCCCATCGATCTGGCCTCGGCTACTGATGTCTAGAATGGTAAATATTTTACTAGGCTAATTTATTCTCCTTCCTTTTTGCAATCTTTCATGTATTCATAGTATAGATATAAAGGCCATTTTCAGTGACATTGTATTTCACTGGCAGAGGAAAGAAAGAAAAAAATCTTTTTTCTGTTTGGATTTATGTCCTAGCTTTACAGTTGGTGAAGCAAAGTGTAGTCCAGGGAGTTCTATAATTTATCAAAAAAACGCACTCTATGGCTGAATTATCTCTGCAAAGCAACCAATTATTTCAAAAGTAGACCATTCCCTCCATAAGAACAAGCTCAGCAGCCAAAGGACTCAAAGACTTTCCAGACAGAATGACTGATCACCACCCACTCCCTTCTCCCATTTACTGGAACCTTGACTGCCTCACGCTCCCTCTTGTTTACCATAAGAAGCCACATCAGTCTTTCTCCATCCGAAATTGCTCTTCCCTAAACTGTGGCTTTTTTATTGTTGCTCTCCTATCATACTTAGACTCAGAGCTCAGGCGTCTGAAGCAGGGGCTCCAAAGGAATCTATTCTGGGGGACTTTTTGGGTCCTCCCCCCCATTTTTAGATATTTTCCTTTCCTGGTTGAGGCTGTAATTAGTTACAGCATTGATTTTTGCTTTTATTCAGCACAAAAAAAACTTACTAAAAACACAGTGCAAGTGAAGTTCATTCTAATCTGGCCATAAAATTTTATGAGGGATGTAAATCAAAGGGAGGAGTGGCAGCTAATGCTCTGGAACAGTTGAGCCCTGTTCAAACTTTCTCAATAGCGTTAAATCCCTCCAGGAGCAATTAGCCTAACAAGCTGTTTCGTCCACTTATAAATAACGTCACCGATGGAGACGTCTGGAGGTGTCTGCTCTGTGCACAAGAGACT